AGATAAGGTTGGGGCTTTTTGCCTATTTCCTCAATTCTATGCTGGGTTTTTGTCTGGTTTAAGTTTGCATGGGTCTTGTACATATTGTCACCATTGCTGTAAGTTTGTATGAACAAGCTCTCAGAGGCCTGAAAGACTGTTTCCTTGTGGTTGTCCACCACCCCTGGCTCCTACAGTCTTTCTGCTCCCTCTTCCACAATGGTCCCTGAGCCCTGGGTGGGTGAGGTTTAATATAGGAGTCCTATCCAGGAATATGTGCTCTACAGTCTCTTCTTCTGTACATTTTGGCCATTTGTGATTTTCTGTGTTAATTGCCCTCTGTTGCATGAGGCAGCTTTTCTGGTGAGAGTTGGTGATGCATCAATATTCTCTCTACCCCCTCCCTGTTCCACAGTGTTACATGGGACTTAGGCATAGAGGTTCCATTGTAGATGTGTCACTTGGGGCTGGACATCTCACAGACACTTATTCTCTGTGTTTGACCAGTTGTGTGACTTTGTAAGTCTCCATCTGTTGCAAAAAGATGGTTCTTTGATGTGTGGTGAATGGTATTCTTGTCTGTAAATATGAGGATCCATATTTGGCATACAAAGAAAAATATGCATTTATCTAGGGATGTGACAGATATGGGGTTTTCTCTAAGATCTATGACCTCTCTATCTTCGTGTATTTGGCTATGTTTACAGTACCACACGAGTTCCCTCCTTTTGAATGGGCTTTAAGGCAATTAGATAGCTGTTGATTACCCCAAGATAAAAGTGCCACTACTGTACTGCTAGAAATAGTTTGCTGTGCAGGTCATTGTGTGGTTGTTAGGCTTTAAAGCTGGCCTTGGACCCTTGTTTGATTTTTTTTCTCCCTTAGTAACTTACGTAGTATCCTCTGAAACTAAGTCTTCGAGAAGGAGACTCCGGCTCCATTACTCAAGTCTTATGTCCAAAGTCTGTCCTGTCTTCAGCAGCCTCAAGTTCTGGGAGGTAATCAAATGCTGTGACAATAGCCTGTGTTACTTTGAAAGTCTCTTGGACTATCCTGACCAATAACTCGAAGGGAAATTAATCCTGTCCAGCACTGTGTTTCTTGTTAGATGATCTTCAACTATGCATGTGCACAGATATGCAGATATTGTATGTGTATTTTTCAGTAGGACATTGAACTAATACATTTCCTTTGAAACAAGGTATCGCTGTGTAGCCCAGGCCGGCTTCAGCCTTGCTGTGTAGCTTAAAATGGCCTCCAATTGAAAATCCTCCTGCCTCAACCTCCTGAGTGCTGGATTGCAGGTACGTGCCACTGTGCTCTGCCTGTGTTTCTTCTTTCTCTCTTCTTTTTGAACTTATACTGCATTAATCTGGGCTAAGAACAGCTTCCTTGTGGTATAGTAATAATTTGACCCTGTCTTATCAGTAATCACCTATAATCATGTCTGTATATCATTTTACCACTTCTCGAGTACTTGTACCTTTGCTAATAGATTTGATCTGAACAGTTCTGTTAGGTGATTGTAATCACCACCTTCACCTTATACACTTGAATACTGAGGTTTACAGGGTTAAAGGTGTGGCATCAGACGTAGCTGGCTAATGTCTCCTCTGTAGGCTTCTGCTGTCTGCCTTAACCACCCTGTTATCTCTTTGCTCATTGATCAAGAATGCAATTGCTCTATGTAGTAGAATATATTTTATTGATCTTTTAAAAAATACTTTTATTGATCTGTGAGAATTCAGACAGTATATTTTTATCATATTCAGACCTTCTCCCTCATTACATGTCCTCTATTATTATTTTTGTTTTTTCTTAAAGCCTATTGAGTCTAACCTATGTTCCCCAAATGCTCTTGGGTGTTGCTCTGTCCCTTGGAGTCTGCTCAACATACCAAGCATTACACCCTTAAAGAAAGATGACTCTCCCTCTCCCAGCAGCTATCAATTGCTGACAGATCCTCAGCTAGGGCTGGGGCTTCTTGCCCCCTCCCCCAGTGCTGGTTTTTGTCTGTCTTGGGCTTACAGAGGTCTTGTGCATGCTGTTACAAGCAGTGTGGATTCGTATGTACAACTGCTTTGTGATGTCCAGACACCACAGTTTCCTTGTGTTCATCTACCATACATACTTCCCTGACCTTATTTGAATAAACCATTTTATTTGCTTTCACCAGCATTTCTATTCAGCCTGGAATTATTAACACCATTTCACAGATGAGGATGATGGTAAATCAGGATAATTAAATGACTTTCTCTAGTTTTAAAACTAGTGATTTAAAACACCAGAACAAGAAAGGTCTTCAAACTCATTCTTCTACATTTCCATTGCCCTGTGGTGCCTCTTTGCTCCACTGCAAAATATTGGAAAGTGGAATGTGTTTTTATTCTTGTAATGTTACTGAAACAATTGTCTGTTATGTTCTGTATAATAAAGTGTAAAGCAGGGACTGGGGAGATGATTCAGAGGATAAGATGTTTGCCACACGAGAGTGAGGACTGGAGTTCAGATCCACAGCACCCATATAAAAAGCTGGCCTGTTGGGCATGGTGGTCCCCCTATAATCCCAGCTCATGGGAAGTGGAGATGCCCAGGGCAACCTGCTTAGCTAGACTAGCTGAGTGGGGGAGGTCCAGGTTCATTGAGACCCCATCTCAGCAAACAGATTGGCGAACAGAGGAAGACACTTACACCAACCTGGCCTTCACACAAATGTGCACACCTACCCACATACACAGAAGCACCTACATATGAACGTACACATACATACACCACACACACACATACACATGCCAAGAAATGTAAAACTTAAAGTGACAGCTGTTGGTTTAGTTAGCACGAGAGTTTTGTGTGCTATCATGCTACTGTGATTAATGGGATATACGAGATCACATGATACATTACTGCACGGAAGTTTGTTACCCAAGGAAAAAATAGTATAAGGGACAGAAGATGGGTGTTTAGAATATGGAGTTTTACAGAAAAAAATTTTTTCCTCTAACCTCCTTAGGTTCTTTTTTAGAACAGACTCCTGCAACAAGAGAGATCAGCAAGTTCATTAGTATCTGTATTTCACATATATATCATCCAGAGAATAAGTAGTTCTCAAGAGGTGATTTTGAATTCTAGTTTTATAACATTTTCAACAAAGAGCAGTACATTTTTAGAAAAATGGCAAAACAAAAGAAAAGGGCTCTGAATCTGTACGATAATAACTCGCAGAAGGCCTGGAGTGGCAGCTAAGGCTTGTTCGCACAGATCACTATGGCTCTGACTCCAGATGGTGTGGGTCTGAAGTTGCCGCCAGTGGTTAGCCTTTGTTCTCCTGGCAGAAGAGGGGTCGGACCACTTTGTCATTGTGAGTCTCTGTTCCTCTTTGGAGCAAATAGGGCTAGGCCAGAGTCTTTCTGAAATGCTTCATGTTAAATTGCCTTCAGCTCAGTGATCTGTGTATTTGGGGCATATTCTGGCCTCCTTAAATGTCAGTCCGCTCATCCTGCTCTCCAAGAAAGTCTTAGGCTATTCTTAGCCTCCTCCACGTAAGGGCTGCAGGAGGGGGATGTGCACACTTGTGTCTGGCGGTCTCATAGCCATACCTGCGTCATCCCCACATCCTACCATAGGTCTGTTAGGTTTGTTTCATAATTTGTACGTAGTACTCAATAAAATTAATCAATTGTGGAAACAGTAGCTTCTCACAGAGCATCCTGACAGTGTGTGGTTCAGCAGGAAGATTCTGTGCAGAGCAGGCATTGTCTGCAATTCCTTATGGTCATGGTGACTCTTCTCGTCAGGATTCCCATGTAGTTGTGCCTTTGTCATCATGGTTTGACGGTTTGCAATGGAGCAACCATTCTTTGTTGTGTGAAACTGGATTCCTTGTTTTCAGAGATGGGTAGATTTTTGTCGAGGAGATGAATGGCTTTAGGTAGTGTATGTTGTTATGTTTCCTAATTTGTAAATAATACTACAGAGACATTTATGATAGGAAGGGGATGACTCAGCATAGTAAAGAAACGGAGGAAGAGTCAAAGGTTTGCATTCAGTTCCACCACAGACTTTGTGCTTTGATCCTAACAAGTTTGTACATTTTCTGTCTCAATTTCTTCATCTGCCACATGTAAAATAAATGTTCTCTCAGAATGGATGTGAGGGCTTAATTAGAGAATATAGGTGAGGACTCCTGGCATGCTAAGAACTGTTAAATATTTTAAACTGTTATATATTGTAATGAACTGTGACTTACTGTATGTCAGGCCTTTAAAAATTGTATTAATTCAGATCTACTTGTCACCACTGAAAGTAGGCAATATCATCTCCATTCGAAAATAAATTATTTGAGGGAAAAAAATGCAGTCCTTATAATGGCCTACAGTGCCCTAAATAATTTTGTTTCTGATTGAAACTTGAAACTCTAACCTAATCATAGTGCTTTGTGTGTGTGTGTGTGTGTGTGTGTGTGTGTGTGTGTATGTGTGTCTGTGCATGCGTATGTGCATGCCACGTGTGTGAGTGACCAAGGGGGCCAGAAGAGGGTGTCAGATCCCCTGGAGCTGTAAGGCAGTTGTGAACTGCCCATTGAAGGTGCTGGGAACTGAACGTGGGTTCTCTGGAAGAGCAGCAAGTGCTAAGCACAGAGCCATCACCTCTGCAGCCTCAGGGATGGTTTCTGGCATAAGCCACCATTTCTTTTTTGCTGTGTTACAATGCTGTTAGTAAGGTGTAAGTAGTAAAGCTTTGAGCTTCATCAGTATAGATTGTGATTATAAGTGAAAGTAATACCCTAGGTCAGGAAGCAGGAAGTGCAGGCCATTAACATATTTACATATTATTTTTAGGTAATTCACTATGTTTTATTAAACACATTTAAAGTACTTGACTATATTTCTGCTAAGGTTCATATATAAAATGTTATTTTACTATGACTTTAATATTAAAATAGAAATTATCTTTGAAGAGGTCAAAAGTATTTTACAAATCCTATTTTAATATTTTGTTCTTTTTTGTTTGTTTGTTTCAAGCCATTCTTACACTGGTCAAGATTACAGTACACAGAGGAATGCTGGGAAGATTTCCTTAGATCAGATTGATTCGGTAAGTACCACCTTGTTTTAAAACAGGTTTTCTTCACCTAGTGATCTTTGGATGGGAAGATGGGACAGTGTTATACCATTGCTTGCTCATCATTTTTAAAGACTAGCTCATGTCCTGTGCATGCGGGTTTTTTAAATTGTAGGAAAACCAAATTTAAGGGGAAATTGTTTGTAATTTAATTTAATCAAATATTCCAAAAGGGGATTCTTTTAAGTAATGATAGGTAATATTTATGTTTATATTCAGATTCCACATACATTTAGAGACGGAGAAATGGCAAGTATTAGTTAGCTGGAACTGTGATAGTAGATACCATGGATTAGTGACTTAAGTAACAGAAATTTATTTGCTGGTAATTTGGAGATATGAAGTTGAAGTTCTTCAAGGTGACAGTAGGCTTGATTCCCCTGCCCCTCCCCTGGAGTCAGTCTTCTTGTTTTGTAGATTCTACTCTCCTGTGTCTTCAGATGCTTTTTCCACTGTTGGCAAGCAACCCTGCTATTTTTTTTCTTCTTATGACATTGGTCACCTTTGACTCTAGAATCATGACCTCATACAAGATTAATTACCTCTTTTAAGGCTTTATTTCCAAATATGGTCACACTCTGAGGTACTGGAGGTTACAACTTAAATATGTGAGTGAGGGAGGCAGTTCAGCAATACCACTCATCAGTAATGCTAAGCTAGAGGCTGCCATCTTTGGAATGCCTGCATTAATGCATAGTTCACTTCTGCTTTGTTTTACTTTGTATTTCCATAACAGAAGCACTTTGCCAGGTGGATGCTGGAATGCAGCAGTGCCTGAACAAAGATAGCCTCACTTTTGGAGTCATTTAAACCAAGAGTAAGCCTGATCTGTTCTCTAACTGGTCCTTCTGATTTCTCTCAGAACTGTTCCTCCAGCAGAAGGAGTGAGCCTCTTTTTATTTAATCAGTACATCATGCATCACAAGGAAGGAAATGAGGAATTTTGTCTTGTCAGGGAAGAATTTTCCCTTTTCTGCCCCCTCAGAATAACACAAAAACCACAAACATGTTATCACTCTAATCCCACCTGTTGTTTGCAATGCATACTGTGGATAATTTGTTGCTTCCAAAGTTGTTTTCAGTGCTGATACTTTCACAGCACAAATACACACACACACACAATATTCTGGGTCAGGAGCAAGGAAGGGTCATGAGGGAGCATAGTTATAGATGAAAGCTATCTGTTTAGCTTAGCTTGCACATGTTGATTGCAATAGGAGCCCATTGTCTCTTTGCATTCAAATGTAAACTCCTTTTGCATTGTTTTCCTAATAAGCTGATTACACAGTAGGAAGGCAGATTGAATAGTGTTAAATGACTTCAAAATACAAGATTAACTTTTGGTTGTAAAGTTAGGTAAAAGGGGGGCATTCCCAGAAAAGTCATTCCTATACTTTACTGTACTTCAATTTTTAGAATTTTCTTTACTAAATAATAGAATTCATACTCTATCCCCAAAAGAAACAATAAGCCTGCTATAAATAATTTTATTTAGACAATTATCAGTTTACTTACAGTTAAGAATGTATCAGGATTTTAATGTTAGGAACAAGAATTATCATAAAGTTACTAGAGACAGACCAGAATGACTACATTTCCTCTTATTTGGAGAGTCGTGATCTAGTACTTGACCATTAATATGCCTGTAAATAGCATGGTTACATGGTTGATGATTTGAAATTTGTTCTTATGAGTGTCTAGTTTTTTTGGTTTTTTTTTTTTTTTTGGTCTTTTTGAGACAGGGTCTCCCTGTAGCCCCAGCTGTCCTAGAACTTCTATGTAGACCAGGCTGGCCTTGAACTCACAGAGATCCATCTGCCTCTGCCACCTGCCTTTAATCCCAGCACTTGGGAGGCAGAGGCAGGCAGATGGATCTCTGTGAGTTCGAAGCTAACCTATTCACATAGTGAGTTCCAGGCCAGTCAGAGTTGCATAGTGAGACCCTGTCTCAAAAAACAAACAAATACATTATCACAGTATTATCCAGCCTAAAGATAAATGACAGTAATTGTTTAATGCCTTCAAATATAGTTCAAATACCTAGTCAGTATCAACATAATTTTAAACTGATTGGATGTATAAGATGCAGCCCTGGAAGTTTCTTATTGGTAGGTGCTATTCTAAGGGCTGTGGAATGTGCTGACTGTTACCTGTAGGGCCAGGAGTCTCCGTTTTTACCTTATAGGGCAGTTTTTATGCTCATGCTTGCTTAATCTATAGTTTCCTGGAAAGGGGGTGGGGAATAGCAGGTGGGGGTCAGGGCTGCCAGGGTATGTCTAGGCATGTCTAAAGCAGCAGCCAAGCATTTTACAGAAGCTAAAAGAGCAATTAGTGGGGGTCTGGAGGGATTGGGGGGTAGCGGGTGAATGAAGATGGTCTCAGGGTTCTACACTTTGTGAGTTCGAGGCCAGCGTGGTCTACATAGTGAGTTCCAGGACAGCTGGGGCTACAGGGAGACCCTGTCTCAAAAAGACCAACCCCCCCCCCAAAAAAAAACCACCAGTAGTTCTCTGACAAATGGGTTAATTTAAAAAGGAGTGTCTTGTTTTTTAACTTCCTCTAAATACATATTTCACCTCAAATGGTTCCTTCCCAACTTCTCCCTTTCCCCATGATTTGTGCTTGCATGAATGGTTGGAAATTAATTCTGTTCTTAGGTCTAGCTAAGTGTTTTCCCATTCACAAGCAAATACAATTGTGGGAGTAGATAGAAATGTAATCACTGATTCATTTGGCAAGTATGCATTGAGCCTATCAGCTCTGTGCAAGCCTGAACTGTGACTTCTTACTTGGGAGAAGTAAACCACGTAGCAAATGAGCATTAAAATATAAAATGTTGTTAAGTAAGTGCTGTGATGCTTCTCACTTGGTAGGTCTGTGCCTTAGACATATCTTTATTTGAACTGCTTCCTGTCTGGTGCCTCATCCTTAGAATAATACCAACGTCTCCTGATATTTTCATACTTTCACTACCTATCTCCATTGCATTCTTTTTCTAACTGAAATCTGTGTTGGTCAATGACACTGTTGGGCCTCTGGCCCTCTTCAAGTGGAGACTGCACTTTGCCTTGACCCTGTGTAGGTATGGGGTGTTTCCATTGGGTCACATGACCACTTCTAAGCTGTTTGTGCCAGAGCTCCAGCTTCTTTAAAGCCCTGGGATCATGCCCTGCAATCAGATACCACCCCTGTTGCTGATCCCATCCTCTTATTCTTGGATGGTTTTAGTTTGCACAGTGCTGTCTGTTGTTCTTGGCTTCTGCAGCATCTCATAGCCTCTTCTTATCTGTCAACTCCAGTTCCATTTTTTTTTCCCGTCTCAATATGGCCAACCCTGTGTGCTATTGCTTCCATTTTTGTAATCTGTACTGCTGTTAGTTCTCTTAAGTATTCATCCTATTTCCATTCCTGTCCCATGCAATCTATTTGCACCATAACAGCCACAGTTCTTTATTTGTGAAGCCATCAGACCCTTTGGTGGACTCCATCATGGTTGACTAGGGTCCAGACTCGTTTTCTTGGCCTACAAAACTGACCTCCTTATTGCAGTTTTGTCTCTACTTCATTCTGGCTCACTCGCTGTTCCAGCACATGGTTTTCGTTTTCTTAATGCGACCAATACTCTCAGATCCTCATTGAAATACGTGTCTTAGGTAAAACGTGATTTCTTTAGAGGGGCTTCTGTTGTCTCCCACCACTCTGCCTTATCCGTAGTGCTGCTGTGGAAGTCAGATGCTGCCTCTTCTGTATTCGTGTTTATAGTCTCTCCTCTTGCATTAGAATGTAAACTCCTTGAAGATGAGATTTTTCACATTTTTCTTCAGTGGTGGTTGCTAGGGCTGCACACTTAATAGATGTACAATAAATATTTGGCTATTTTGAGTACGAGGAGTCAAAGAATTGTATCAGGAGACTGGAGTTGAATTGTGTCTTGCAGAACTGCTTGGCTGTAGCTAGATGGTGTGGGCGTGGGAAGGGTACATGGGGGCACCAGCAGATGAACAGGCGGGAGCACGGCTGTGTGACCATAGGATGGTGAATAGGCAGCGGGGACAACGGGTTTGTATTTGTAAAGTAAATCCCCATCCTTATTGCAGGTTCAGCTCCCATGTCCAGCATGGCTTCTCCAGCCTTCATCATGTGCCCTTGTTGGGATGCTTATTATTTAGCTTAGTGCACATTTGACCTGTATAATAGTTGCCGTATTTTCCCTTTACTTAGCTAAATTAAAGGAAAAACTAAGTTTTTTTCATCTTTTTTTAAAAAACACTGAATAAATATTTGTTGTGGAGTGCATTGTTAGACAGTGCATGCTCATATTAAGGATCTTGGATATGCATTAATTTTTTTTTATTAGGAAAGAACCTAAGGAGTCATGTAAAAACAATCTAAAACCCTTTCTATTAGTTCTGCCAAGGGGATACAGGTCTGGATGGCTTAGGTTGGGGATAGAAAAGGTGAGTTGATTTCAAAGGATGGAGAGAAATTAGATGGTCACTAGGGGGAGCAGCAGAGTCACACAAAGTGAGACCTGCTCTTTCAAAGTGAGCTGACAAGAAGACAGGCTGGGAGAATGCCGGTGGAGGTGTGGGAGGAAGTTAGAGGGCTGTGATCGAGGCTGGAAGTGAAAACATTGGATTTAAAATGGGCAGTGATAGTTCATTTCTGACTTTAAACAAAAGACCTTCGTTTTTTAAACTATTGATTAAACATATTTATTTGAATTTTCCCTTTGAAGCCATTCCTCTTATTTTTTGTTCTACTTTATATTTATCTTTTGAATTAATCTGCTGTTCAGCAATTTGTACCTGTAGAGCTTTATTTCAGAGAAATGGACTCATATTCACACAAGACCCCACAAGGACATTCGTAACAGTTTTATTTGTAATAAAAAACTGAAAACAGCCTAACTGTTGTTCAGTGAGCAAATGATCAAGCAGACTGTGGTTCACCCAAGTTACAGAATGTACTGCATGGTAGATGACCATCTATGTGATAGTTTAAATAAATCTCAAAGAAGTCTGTTGAATTAAAACTGCCAATCCTCAGATGTTATGTACTGTGTGATTTTATTTAGTCAGTACTCTTGAAATGACCAAGTTATAAAAATGAACAGGTTAGCTACAGTGGAACACTGTACAAAAAGCAGGAATCAAAAGGAAACAAGAGGGGCATTTGAAGTGACTCAGTTGGCAATGTGCTTGCCATGCATGTGTGAGGTCCTGAGTTTGGATCCCAGTACCTCATGGTGGCGTGTGCCTGTAAACTCAGCACTGAAGAATCAGAAACAGGGGACCCCAGAAGCTTGCTGACCAGCCGGTCTACCTGAAACAGCAAGCTCCAGGTTCAGTGGGAGGCCCTGTCTCAAAAGATAAGGTGGAGAGTGTTAGAGGATGACACCCAACATTGATTTCTGGTCTTCACACATATAAGCACATGTGTGTACATACATGCACTAAATGAGTAAATAAATAAACAAATAAATAAATAAATAAAGGAAATAGGTGGAGTCTTTGTGGCGAAGTTAATGAAACTGCATAAAATTAAACACACAACAATACCCAAATAAGTGTACAACCAAGGGAATCCAAGGAAGGATGGTGGATTACATCCATGTGGTAGTCTGTATGTCTTTCAAGATTTTGTCTTTACGGGGAACTTGGAACATACTACCTCCTTATATTATTTCTTATAGCTAATATGTAATTCTATAGTTATCTCCGAAGAAAGAAATTAATTTTGAAAAGGAGATGAAACAAGCTTTATTATTATTTGAACTAGTATGTTCCAAGAGTTATCATCTTAATGTGTGACCAATATAAAATACCGACAAGAAAATGCTCATTTGCAATCATAGTAACACATTAGTGCTTCTTATTACTTACGTTTTTAATTTTGACTAGACCGAATTTACAATCACAACAAATATCACAAGGGCCTAGTAAGTCTTCAACATTACCCAAACTTGTTTTTTCTTGTAGCTTTCTACCAAATCCTTTCCACCTTGCATGCGTCAGTTGCATAAGGCTTTGCGGGATAATCACCATCTTCGTCATGGAGGCCGGATGCAGTATGGTCTGTTCCTGAAGGGCATCGGTTTGACCTTGGAACAGGCATTACAGTTCTGGAAGCAAGAATTTATCAAAGGCAAGATGGATCCAGACAAGGTAATGAAAAACCAGAGCAGTAGTTAATGGAAGCTAATTCGGCCTGGAAATTAGAACATCTGTTTTTAAAATATGCACTGAAATGCAGTTGAAAATTCTAAAAAGATAAATGTGTCCTAGTTTATAGAAAAAGAAATTCGCATATTAATTAATAAGTGGTAAACAAAAGCTTGAGAAAGGTGTCTTCTTTGTAGGTGTGCTGTCAGCAGTAATTCTAAGACTGAAATTGCTTTCTGAGTTGTGTTTTTGTAAGGATGTATATTCATATGTATGTACACAAACATAGATAATCTCACTTTAAAGATTAGGAGATATCATGAACAAATAAAGTGAAAGCAACTTAAAATATTTTCTTTCCAGCTGTGCTCAGTCCTTCTTAGAGCAGTGTTAGTCGTCTCTATCAACTCTAGCAACTGCTTTTAAAACTGTAACAGTCATTTCTTACACCTATTCCTTATTTCTTTTCCATTACTACAAGATAATAACATTTTATTTAGAAATGTGGTTGCTGCCCTCTTATGTCAAGCACTGTATCGCATGTGCTATTTATTTCTTGATTTTCGTTTTCCAGAAAATAAGTTAATATAGGATGAAGAATATTACCAAGTAAATTTATTATAAATAACTACTTTATGTTGTCTTATTAGTTTTCTAGTGCTGCTATAACAATACCAAAGACTGGTGGCTTAAATAACAGAAATTTATTTTCTCATGGTTCTGGAGTCTGGGAAACTTTGTTAAAGTGGTGGCACATTTGGCTTCTCCTGAGGCCTGGCTCTTTGGCTTACAGGTGTGATTTGTTTACGTGATCTTTACTCTGTGTGTGCTGCACCATAACATAATTTGATATGTAACATGGCTCTTATTCTATGCTTATTAAAATCTCTCTCTCTGTCTCTCTGTGTCTCTCTGACTGTCTCTTTGCATGTCTGTCTCTGCGTGTGTGTGTGTGTGTGTGTGTGTGTGTGTGTGTGTGTGTGTGTATTGTTGTTGTCAGGTGTCTTTGTTTGTCACTCCCCACCTTACTTTTTGAGTCAGAGTCTCTCACTGTATAGAGCTTGTCATTTCAGCTAGGGCTGGCTGATGAATAAGCTCTGGGATTCTTCTGTGACCATGCCAGCAGCACCGGGGTTACAGGCAGACACTACCATGTCCAGCTTTTGCCTGGGCTCTGGGGCCTAAACACAGATCCTCATGTTATGCAGTATGCTCTTTATCCACTGGGCCATCTCCCCAGACCCACAGACCTTTTTAATATTGTGTAAAGGTCTGTGCTGGATAGCTGGAGTGTCTACTTGACACACCTGGGTTGAGGGAGCCTCAATTGGGGAATTGCCTCCATTGGACTGGCCTGTGGCCATGTCTCTGGGACATTTTTTTGATTGTTGAGTGATGTGGGAGGGCCCAGCCCACTGTGGATAGTGCCACCCCTGGGCAGGTGGGCCTGTGTTGCATAAGAAAGCAGGCTGAGCAGGGGCCAGGGGAGCAAGCCAGTAAGCAGAGTTCCTCCGTGGCCTGTGCTTTAGCTCCTGCTTCCAGGTTCCTGCCCTGAGTTCCTCCCTTGGGCTCCCGGATGAACTGCAACCTGGGATATGTAAGCTAAATAAACCCTTTCCTCCCCAAGTTGGTATTGGTCAGAGTGTTTTGTCACAGCAATGGAGAAACAAACTAAGACAAGATCCTAAACTTAGATTTTTTTCGAAGACTGCCTTCCTTGAGAATTGTCTATGGAGTTTTAAGTAAATGACTCAATTTTCTTTGAACAGCTTTGAGTATTTCTTGGACTTCTATTCTGTTATTTTTTAAAGTATTCTGACTAGAAAATAAGAAAAACATAAAAAAAAATTTACCTGCTATCTCCCCCATTCAAAAATAATTACTATTAACAGTTTAAGCTTTCTCTTAAGTCTAGGTAGCCAGCTACCATTGCTTTTTTTCCCCTTATTTTAAAATGACATTATTTTATGATCGTTCCAGGTTATTAACTAATCTTTGAAAGGTCACTTTAATTTGCTGTACAGTAATTCCCCTGTTCTTGGACATCTGGTTGTATGTGTGATGCATGCATATGTGCATGTGTTTCTGCAAGTAATGTGTCTGTATGCTCACTTGGAGGCCAGATGTTGACACCGGTTGTCTTTGCCTATCACTCTCCACCTTGTTTTTTGAGACAGGGTCCCTCACTGAACCTAGAGCACACCGTTATAGCTAGACTGGCTGACCAGGCAGCCCCTAAGGTCTTCCTGTCCCTACCACCCCAGTGCTGGAATTAGAGGTATGCACTGCTACAATCCTGTTTTAAAAAAAATTAAAACTTGCCAGGGGTGGTGGTGCACACCTTTAATCCCAGCACTTGGGAGGCAGAGGCAGGCAGATCTCTGTGAGTTCAAGGCCAGCCTGGTCTACATAGTGAGTTCCAGGACAGCTGGGGCTACAAGGAGACCCTGTCTCAAAAAGACAGAAAAAAAAAAATTTAAAACTTAATTTGTGTGTGTGTGTGTGTGTGAGAGAGAGAGAGAGAGAGAGAGAGAGAGAGAAAGAGAGAGAGAGAGAGAGAAAATATGAATGTGCATATATACAGGTGTCACAGTGCATGTGTGGAAGTTAAAGGACAGCTCTTGGGAGTTGGTTCTTTTTTCCCACTTTGAATTCTGGAATTAAACTGAGTTCATGAGGCTTGTGCAATAAGTGTTTGACCTGCTCAGCCATCTCACCATTCCCACATCTGATTTTTTAGATGGATGCTAGGGTTCTGAAATCAGGTCCTCATGTTTGCTCAGCAAGCACTTTACCCACAGAGCCATCCCTCCAACCCTGATTTTATGTAATTTGATGGGTCAAAAATGTAAATTCAGTCAATATCTTGAGGATATAAAACATTGGTTGTAGTTCTGATTATGTCCTTAGTATGGGTTATCCAAAAATAACATTACTTGTTAAGAAACGATATATAAATTCTTCATATGTGTCATGTTATGACTGTTAAGAAAAGTCTTAATTGGACCTTTGTCAAACTGTGTGATGATCTTGTTCTGCTATTTGACATAGTTATGTTACTACTTTAAACTATGCTTTGCTTTTCAGATTAGGAATTTGATATAGTAAGTGGGTAGATGTGGTAGTTTGAATGGGAAATGGTCCCCAGCTGGCAGCACTGTTTGGGAAAGTTTAGGAAGTGTGGCCTTCCTGGAGGAAGTACGTCACTGGGGGTGGGCTTTGAGTGTTTATAGCCTCGCTCCACTTCCGGTTTGCTCTCTCTGCTTTGTGTTGGTGGTTAAAGATGAGATCTCTGGACTTCCTGCTCCAGCTGCCTGCCGCCATGCTCCTCTTCCATGTCTCCCTCTGGAAGCATGAGGCAAAATAAAGTCCCATAAGCTGTCTTTGGTCCTAGTATTTCATCACAGCAACAGAAAAGTAGCTTATACAGCAAGTCTGTTAGGATTCTCCACAGAAGCAGAACTGTGTATGTGTATATTCACACATACATATGTGTACATGCTCATCAATTGATTATAAGGAATTGACCCATATGGAGAATGTCAAGCTTGAAGATCTACAGTTGGCGACTTGTATAACCAGGGTACAGCTCTTGCCCGAATCTGAAGGCATGAAGAGGAGGACTGATGAGAAGACTGCAGGTCAAGTGCTAGTACCCTTAACACCCAGGAGAGTAGGTTTCAGTTTTAAATCTGAAGGCAGTGGAAAGCTGAGGCTGTAGTTCAAAGCAATCTGGCAGGAAGAAATTCCTCCTTACAGGAAGGTCAGCCCCTTTGGTCTGTTCAAGTCTTCCCTCAACTGATTAGAGAGGGCAACCAACCTGCCTTACCACAACCATCAACTCAGATGTTAAGCTCATCCAGAAACACCCTCACAGATACACAGAATAAGCTTTGAGCACTTGAAAGGCTGGTCAACTTGACACACAAAATTAACCAAACAGTAGCAAGTACTTGTGAAGTAGGGGAAAGTTAGACACTAGTGTTGAGGAGAAAACAGGCTTGAACTAGCTTTTTTGCTCGATTTGTGCAGTAAAGTAAGAGAGGAGAGAAGAGAAGGGGAAAAAGCTGGCATGGCAGCCAGTCTGCTCTGGCTTGGACACCTGTTCCTGTCCTGCCTGCTTTCATGTCCATCTGACCCAAGGAAGGGTATTTTGGCATGTAAACAGTAGAAATGAGCTCTAGACAGATATTAGGTGCAAGACAGGCGTGACTTTTGTTTTGGGACTTCAGCTCATGAGCATGCACGCACTTGTGTATATGTCCACCCAAGCGCACTGGTGTGCAGATGCTCACAGTGGCCATATGTGTCCAGTCCCCCCAGAGCTGGAGTTACAGAGAGTTGTGAGCCACCAGATGTAGGTGCTGGGATCCAAACTTGGGTTCTTTGCAAGAACAGTATGTTTCTTAACCACTGAGCCATCTCTCCAGCCTGCAAGCATTTTAATGATTTGCTATAGTAGGCCAGTCTGATCCTTTCCTTTGGTCACAGGCACAATTCCAAAAGGTTTTTACCCTTTTGTGTGTTAGCATCCTGACCTTGAGGTTTGCGTTCTATTGGATGGTTGACATAATCCAGGCACAGCCGAGGCCTGCTCTTGAGAGCACCATCGCCTTGCATAAATGTTCTGGCGCTGTGCCTCGGCCTGGGCCTTTTCATAGAGCTGAAGGATTTTCAGTGCTTGAACTGTTGAAAAAGTACAAGGGCAGAGTAGAAGAAACATGTGTAATGCTTTTAAGGGGTTGCAAGTTAAGCGCCCCTTTGAAGGACATGAAAAGGAGTAGAAGTGGGCAAAATGCTCACCTTTCATTCCTTGGTTTCGTTAGTAATTTTTCACTTACTGAAGCTTTTCTTGTCTCTGGTTTTAGGGTGGTTGTAGACTTGGTTGGTATCTTTAAAGAATCTCTGCTTTTCTACTTGTGTTTAGATTCTGCTTTTTATATAATATTTGAACAGTTTTATCTGAATGCATATTTTAACTACAGGATACAAGATCTTAGTAT